AAATACTGTATTGCTGAAAGGAATGATGAAGCAGGCAATTTTTCAATTTTTCAAAGTTTCAATTTTTCACAATATGGTTGGAACTGGGAGATATCATGTTGAGTGAAGTAAGCCAGAATAAGTAAAAGACAAACACAGAATGTCCATGTGGTATATAGAATACTGCATACTGGATAAGGAAAAGTACTACAGTAAAGGAAGGCTGCCTAGATCACCTTTGACTCCAGTGTTTAGAGAGAAAGACAGAGAAGGAAAGAAACCAAGGGAGGAGACGAGAACAGGAAGTAATGGGTGATTAGGCATCCAGACTTTCACCTATATACTGGCGACATAGGTGAGTGGTGTATATATATATATATATATATATATATATATATATATATGTGTGTGTGTGTGTGTGTGTGTGTGTGTGTGTGTTATACAGACTCAACGAAACTTTAACTCGAAAACTATGCTTCAAAGTTGTGATGTGTCTGTCAAGTTGACAGGCAGGGATGGGGTATGGGTTGGGGTGGGGAAGGAATATGGGAACACTGGAGGAAGGAAGTTGACACTGATAATGAGACTAGTGTTGAAATATTATATGCCTAAATCTCAACTATCAATAACTTTGTATATCAAAGTTCTTTAATTTAAAAGGAAATGTTGCCAACAAGACTGAAGTTTAAGCAGAGAAGTGACGCTGGGTATTTGAGGAAAGAATTGAACTAAGTCAAACGAATTCTGAAGCCTCCTCTACCAAGGATCTGTTTATTCTGCTAGTTAATAAATCACTTTTATTGCTCAAACCAGTCTGAATTTACTTGAAAGTGAAAGTGTTTCACTGTCACAGAAAAAGAACATGATATAGGAAGACAGGGCAAGAATTAAACCAGATGGGAGACTAGGCATGAAGTGATAAGGCACAAGGGAACAATAGAGTCGCTGGAGAGAAAGACCTGATATATGAGGATAATCTGTATCAATGTGTCCAAGCCTCCCATGTTTCACAAAGGGAGGAATTTCACGGATGAGGATGGTGTTTAAAATTTAAAATTCCTAAAAATAGAAATTTAAAAATTCCTATTTTTCAAGGAATATCAGGAGTGAGAAATTTATAAATTAATCTCAGGAGTAAGGAATTTGAGCCCATAGCCAAACATTTAAGTGAAGACCCAATTCGTTGTTCAGGAGTAATATCACTCTAGCAGTAAAAGATGTAAAGCAGGGCCGGGGATGTGGCTCTGTAGTAGAGTGAATGGCTTACCTGGATGAGGACATGGGTTCAATCCCTTTTTCTGGCACTGTCCAGACAAGATACAAAATGTGATCTAACACATATCAAAAACATCACTGTCACTGTCTTCTCGTTTTTCATCGATTTGCTCGGCGGGCCCAGTAACGTCTCCATTGGAGACTTTGTTATTACTGTGTTTGGCATATCAAATACATCACGGGGAGCTTGCCAGGCTCTACTGTGCGGGCAAGATACTCTCGGTAGCTTGCCAGGCTCTCCGAGAGGGGCGAAGGAATGGAACTCGGGTCGGTCATGTTGGCTGCATGCAAGGCAGACGCCCTAACACTGTGCTATCGCTCCAGCCCTATCAAAAACATAATTACCACAAAAATAATTACATCTATGATCCATAAAACACTGTGAAAACCTGTTAGTAGAATGAATGGGGAAGAAAATCTGTGAAAATATAATAAATGAGAGCTTTTGGTTTATATCTTAGAATGAAAGCATGGGCAGACTTTGGCCAAAAAAAGAGAGAGTGGTGAAAGGCAGATTAGGAAAGTCTTATTCAAAATCAGCATAGAACTGATCAAAACATTACAGTAGTGATTCAAATTTCATGCTATGATTAGGTGGCATGTCAACATAACATGTGATCACTGGAGCCCAGGGGAACTTAAAAAAAAAAAGGGTAATAAAAGAAAAGTGTAAATGGATGTGAACTGGTGGAAGAGAGAAGCCCAGCAATGCCCCATACAAATCACTGAGTCTTCATAGTTCACTGATGGAGAGGTTAATGAGAAATTCTGGTTTCTGTTCCAGCAGGTAAGAACCTGGCAAGTCACCATTTCATACTCAGAACAAATTAAAAGCTGAGCAAATAGAAAAATTAACCCTTGTTAGGTTCAAAAGAGAAGTAAAGACACCAGGAAAACTTTTTGCCCCAAATTGGAGAGATTGGCAGAAAAATACAGAGAACCACAATTTAATGGAGCAGTGATGTCCATGGAGACAGTTCCATGGTCAGGAACAAGATCTGTAGCTGACAAATTGCTGGTGACTCTGTGGGAACTATTCTGAGAGCTTGAAACTGCAGGAGGAATCAGTCTTCTGATGCATGTGTTTTGCTTCCTGGAACTCCACCAGGTTCTGACAGTGAATATCATAGAAAAAATCACATGCCTCTTAACTCTCCCACATAAGTGTGCTTCTGGAGGCTGGGGACAGGGAACAGGAACCTCTTTGAAATACACCAAAGCATTCTGTTCTTACCAACTCTCCTTACCTCAGGAGAAACTATTTAATCCGAACCTAATATGCTGAGATTTTATGAAAATCTAACTGGCCTGGGAGAAAGGAAATACTCAATTTTGCTCTCAATTAACCATCCTATCTACCTAAGAGGAAGAGGAATGCTGAGAAGGAAGCACATGTAAACTTCACAGTCCAGTGGCACAGGCTTACTAAGAGACTGAGACTTAATCACTTCCCCTCCCTTCCACCTTACCACAAAAATACAGAAGGCCTATTTACAGCAGTTTCTTTTAACCAGTATATTGCACTTGGATATCAAGGGAAAATTTTTTCATAGTACATCGAAAAGCACCAAACATGAAAGAGACAGAACAAGCAATTGAACCAGACAATATGGCAAGTAGAATGAACAGACACAGATAATGGAACAACACACTCCTAAAGAACCAACAGATCAAAGAAGAAATCAAAAGGGAAACCAAATAACTAAAAATGGAAATATAACATGCCAAAACGTATGGGACACAACAAAAGCAAGTCTAAAAGGGAAGTTTATATGTTTATAATTTAAAAATCCAAGTAAATGTTATTTATTTATATGGTTTGGGGGCCACATTCAGCAGTGCTTAGTACTTACTCGTGGATCTGAACTCAGTAATCACTACTGGTGGTGTTCAAGGGACCAAATGTGGTTCTGGGATCAACTCAGTTTGGGTGTGTGCAAGGAAAATGCTCTTTACCAATGCACTATCACTCTAGTCCCCCAAGTAAATTTTAAAGGTCTAGTTGAGTTCATTAAATGACTCCTGCATTGAGCAGTGTCCCATCTAGTCTGGGCTCAGGCATTCCTCCTGGCAGTTTCCGGGGTGCCATATGGGATACCAGAAGTCAAAACCATGTGCATGTGGCATTTGCAAGGCCCTACCAACTATATGATCTTTCCAGCTTCTCTTTTCTTTTTGTTTTGAACACTGGTAAATGCCAACATGAGAAGAAAAAGAAGAAAGTTGCCAAATAAAACCCTAATCTTACATCTCAAGAACTAAAAGAAGAAGAAGAAATTAAGCCAAAACTTAGCAGAAAGAAGGAAATAGCAAAAACCAGAGGGGGGAAAGCATCAATGATACTGTTTAAGTTTCGTTGGTTTTGGCCACCCCTAGAGTAGCTCAAGGTCTACTCTCAGTGTCTGCGGTCACTCCCAGAAGTGCTAGGACAAAAAGAGCTAGGGATTGAAGCCTGGCCTCTTGCATGCAAAGCAGGTGCTGTCAGTCCATTGAAATCTCTCTGGTACCTAAGAGACAGCTTTTTAGCTTTTTGGCTTTGATTTTTGATTTTGGGGTCCAGAGCTTACACCTTGCTTGTGCTCACGATCACTACTGATGAGGCTAGGAATTGAACCCAGGTCAGCTACATGCAAGGCAAGTGCCTTACCCTCTACATACAGACATTGTGCTTACTTTCTGGGCTACATAACTGATAGCTTTGACCAGCATCTAAATTTTGCTCATAGGTCAGTTTTATGGGCACAATAGCCCTCTTCCTGCACTTTGAGCATCAAATCTTCAACTTTTCTTGTGACTTTCAGTTTTCTAACTTGCACAAATCAGTTCCTCCCTCAGAGAGCAGGCCCACTCGAACTAGGTGGGCCATGAACTCTGTTATCAGCTGACATCCCCTTGTCCAAAACCAGGACCCATCTCTGCTCCCAACACTCAGGTCAGAATTCAGCCCCACTCCCAATACCGACCATACTTATTCTCCTACATGAGACCCCATTGAGTCCAACATAGGTAGGGCCCTGAATTATATGCAAGGGATCAAAAATAGGGTTTGGAATCTAGTCGGGAAGATAACTCAGGGCAGGGATATACTTTCAGAAGAGAGTTCAAATGGCTTGTTGCTGTTCCCTTTAAACTGTGTATGGTGGGTTAATGGCATATCCAAGTGGTCCTCAAGAGTCCCAGGTCTTCACCCTGTGAACCTGTGAACATGTTCCCTTACACAACGAAAGGCACTGGGAGAAAAGAACACAAACCAAAGGGCATGGGGGAATTACTTTGGGTTGTGCAGGTAGACCCAATCTAATCTGATGAGTCCTTAAGAGTGGTGAATCTGGGGCTTGTGACAGCTCAGAGGCAGAGCACCAGCCTTGTGAGGGTGAGGTAGAAAGCTTGGACATCCGGTTCCATCCCACACACCCAAATGCATCCAGGCAGCACTGCTCTCAGAGACCCTCAGCATCACCATCAAACTTGCATCTCTGGAGCACTATAACCGGGTGTGGGGGAGCAACAACACTGCGGTGTGGCACTCCCCAAGAGGATTATATGAACAGTACCAGCAAGGGTGCCTCCCACCCCCTGCAAGCCCCACCACTCATTATGCAAGCTTGCCCACTATGAAACCTCTGTCCATGACAACAGCCATAAAAGGGCAGGCAATAAAGTAAAATATACACTAGGCAACAAGGGGTAGTTGAGGAGAAGGGCGTTGGGGAAGAAAAGATGAGAGGTATAAAAAACAAACTAGAGTGCTCGCTTCGGCAGCACATATACTAAAATTGGAATGATACGGAGAAGATTAGCATGGCCCCTGTGCAAGGATGACATACAAATTCATGAAGCGTTCCATATTAAAAAAAAAAAAAAACTAGGGACTGGAGAGAGAGTACAAAGGCGAAAGCACTAGCCTTGCATGCAGCTGGCCTGAGTTCAATCCCTGGCACCACATGTGGTCTCCCAAGCATTGCCAGGAGAGACCCCTGAAGACAGAGGCAGGAAAAAGCCCAGAGAACTGCTGGGTAGGTCCCAAAAGTAAGAAATTTTAAAAAATTAAAAAGGTAGGGGCAAGGGAGGTAACTCAAGTGGTAGAGCATATGCCTAGATGTGCAAGGCCCTGAGTTTGATGGCCAGCACTACCTGGCCCCAAGCACAGAAGGGGTGGCCTTGTGTTTCGCATCCTCAGGCCTGAGCTACGCTGTGGGGACAGAGCACCGAAATCCTCGACCCCATGGCCTGCCCAAGCATAACCGGGAATGGCGCAGGCTCACCCAAACTCCACTGGAGGTGGCCTTTATTTACAAAATAAGAAATAATAAATAAAATTAATATATAATACACACAAAAAAATTCAATGAAGAATCTTTTCAATCTGTGATCAAAAGGAGACATCAGAACAGCAGGGAGATTAGAGGAGGAGGCCACACTACAGGTTTCAAATATGGAGGAAGAGACCAGAGGGAAACCTGCTTCTCGAAGTCACCCAGAGACAGGCCAGGAACCATGGCAGTCTGGGGCCTTCAGAAGCTGGACTTTTTCATATCTTGACATTGACCCAGGGGGAAGGATTTTGAACTCCATGCTGTGAGAAGTCTGCGTGGCTCCTGGGTTTGTGGTGATTAGCAACAATGAGAAAGGAACACAAGATGCGTAATGGTGGAGTTGTCCCTGGTGGCACAACAAACAAACAAACTCACCAAGAGTGCAGGGAGGCTGACATCCACTGAAAGCACCAGGCCTGGATTGGCATCTGGTCAAAGAGCCTCTGCAGTGCCCTTGAAGGCCTCTCTGTTGTAGGTGCAAGTCCCCTCCTGCTCAGCTGCATCTGGTTTAGGCACCTGCCAGCTCTGACCTATGGGAGGAGGACAGAGATATCAGGGGTCCCCCTAGCCAGGGATGGCGCTATGCCTAGGCCAGACGTGTAGACTCTGAGTGAGTAGGATTCTGGGATACCCTGTGGGCCTTGCAGAGAAACTAGCTCAGGGTCTAGCAGAGAGAACAGTGGTTGTAGCTCACCTGGACTGTGAAGAAAGTCAAAAAGAACCTCTGGATTATTACTAGGGGGTGGGGGAGGAGGTTATAGGGTCACACCCAGCAGTGCTCAGAAGCTATTCCTGCCTCTGTGCTCAGGGGACCATATGTGGTGCTGGGATTCAAATCAGGATCTCAGACACTGCAGCTGTATGCAAAGCATACATACATAGGCCTTCCTGGATTATCCTTTTTTATACTAAGTCTATTGGGGCTGTAGGCTGCTGCGGGGACTTTGGGGAGACCTGGGAGGCCTGAGAACTGAAAGTGCACAGACTCTGCTTCTGTGTAGAATGCTCAGCAGTGAAAGTATATGGGGGCCATAGGTGAGAGCCACAGGCAATGACTTTGAAGAGATGGGAATCTGGGGAAATCCATGATGGCAGGGCCTCAGACTCCTGGGCAGAGAGAATTTGGAAGTTGCCAGAAGGAAGCAATGATAGGCTGGGCCTTTTCACTGAAATGGCAGGGTTGGAGAGAAATACACAAAAGAGGTAACAAGGGAGAAAAGGACTTTGCCAAGCCAGCCAGGCAGTTCCCAGAAACTTGCATAGGTTCTTCCTGTTCTAGGCAAGAATATAAGGCAGCAGTTAGATTGTGCTAGGTAGGTGGTAGGGAACGCTCTATTGGTGAGGGGCAGTCACCCCTTCCCATCCCACCCCAGCCCACCCACAGTTGGATTTACCTGATGAGAGGAAGTTAGGCAAGCCCAGAGGGTGGCACTCTGCAGCCCAAGGGAGTGGAACACAAGAGTGGTCTTGGAGCAGTTTCTTTGAAAACATGAAAACTGCCTCCTTTGAAGGGCCATTATCAGACAGGCAACTAAGGTACATGGAAAGTATCACAAAAGACTGACTCTGCTAATAACAGTCCCATTTATACTGATAGGCAAGACATAGTCACTTTCAGGTGGGAAAGTTATAGTCAGAAGATTATGCTCATCAGCCTGAGATGATACTTAGACTAACAAATGGGGAAGAGATACAAGGGATGGTGCAGTGGTTAAAGCAGGGTGGCTGTAAGTTCATCCCCAGAGCCACTCATGGGTGCCTGGAGAGTTCCTGGCAGCTCTGTTGTTTATATTCCCATCACCACCGGTAGTTTCCAGCCATGCTACAGTGCATGGCTATTAGAGGTCGTGGATCCCAACTGGCTCCACAACTGAAAGGCATGCATGCAAGCACGACAATTTGATCATGTGGTCACTGTTAAGCATCACACACAAGCTTGTGAGCAACCCCTACTCATCACAACCACAACTTCAACAAAGGGAAGGGAAGGGAGGAAGAATAACCATACATGGAAGCTGGGTGAGGGGTGCAATTCTGATTAACTGGTACCGGGTGTACAAAGGAGCCAGTCCCATCACAGGGAACTCAGCGAGGCATGTAACAGTCCCAGGGACAGGCAAAAGATAGAAAATAGATATTTGTAAAGCAGCATAAGAACCGGAGACCAAATCTAGTAGCAAGTTTCAAAGTTGAGCCCAAGGCCTGAAAGAGTGTGTAGATCAGAAGGTCTGACCATATGTTAAGATATGGGATGCTGGGGAGCTGGTGCGATAGTACAGCCTGTAGGGTGTTTGCCTTGCACGCAGTCGACCTGGGTTCAATTTCCAGCATCCTATATGGTCCACTGAGCACCTCCAGGAGTAATTCCTGAGTACAAAACCAGGAGTAACCCCTGTGCATTGCCGGGTGTGACCCAAAAATGGAAAAAAAAAAGATATGGGATGCCTTCTAGGAATTCTGTTCAAATATTTCCTTCTTTGTAGGGAGTGACTTTCTCTTTGACTTGGATTTGAACTGGAAAATTATTTTGGATCAAGGGCATCTGAAAGACCCTGCTAGACACAGTCACACAGGTTATCTCTGCTAGACATTCGACAAACAAATGAAAACCCAGCAAACCTGCCAGCTCTGGACTGCATATCTCCCCACAGTTTCTCCCTCTTCTCCCACATTTCAAGGTCTCTACTCTTAAGTACCTCTAAGGGAAATATATAGTGACTTCAGGATGATTTATCTTTCCATTAGCTGATACTACTCCACTATCTTCTTCTAAAATATCCTGCAGATTTTTACCTCAATGTACATATTTGATTCTGCATAGGTTCTTTTTTTTTAATCCAGCCCTATAAGAGCAACTACTGAACTATTCTTCTCTGTGTTGGGCAAGAACTTTTTTATATTTTATATCTAGAGTGGGACTCTAATAATACATGAGTATTGGAGAAATGGCACCAAGAATAACAATTATTTATTCATTTATTTATTTGCTTTTTGGGTCACACCTGGCAATGCACAAGGGTTACTCCTGTCTCTGTACTCAGTAATTACTCCTGGCAGTGCTCAGGGGACCATATGGGATGCTGAGAATCGAACCCGTGTTGGCCGCTTGCAAGGCAAACGCCCTACCCTCTGTGCTATTGCTCCAGCCCCTAGAATAACAATTTTAAAAGACATTGAAGTTTTAGAAGAAAATGTAGGTAAGTTTCATTATGACCTTGATGCTGGGGAGGATTTCTTAAATAAGACACCAAATGCACAAACTACAAAGTAAAAGATTAGTAAAAAGCTATATTTTAGAAAATAACATCTCTGAAGAGAGATAAGAGGAATTATGATTGTTTCTCCAAAACTGGAGCTTTAAGAGATGATAAAATGACTCCAGTGGGATTTTGCTGCATAAGCCAAACATAGTAAATGCGCTGACTTAGTTATTGACTGTGTCAGAAAATTGCTTCACCTGGTTTCATTCATCACATAAACTTTCTGACTGGGGTCTGATAATGGCACTCTCCTGAAGGCACAGTGTATATATTTTTTTAATGAAGACAGTCATCAGAATTTTTTTTTGGTTTTACTCTTCTTCAAAAAGACAAACCAAAAAAAAAAAATGAGCTTCACATGAGGAGCAATGTCCTGATGGGAAGAAAGCCATTCAAATGGATTTCTGGAACCAGAGAAATAGGTCCAAGGCCAGGATGCATACTTTGTACATGGAATATCCAAATCCATCTCTGTCTCCACCTGGTCTTGCCCATCTATGTGTCCTTTCTCCTATAATGAGATTAATTTCTCTCCACAGAGCACTGAGATACTAATTATTCTGCCCTTTATGAAAAATAGTCTTGCCTGACCTCAGGACAAAAGCAAACCTTCTACGTTATACCCTAAATTTGTAAATTTTTTACTAGAAATTTGCATTAGAAGCCCTTGCAGAATCAGGACAGTAGCTGGGAGATACAGTTCTTGGACCCAGATCCCAGTGACACTGATTCAGTAAGTCAAACTGGGGACCTGGCACCTGTACTTTATTAAAAAAATCATATTCTCCATATGATTCTGGTGGGAAGCCCTGACTGAATACTATTCTCACAGACCTTTGGACTCGGGACTATAACCAAACACTCTGCCTTTCACCACTTTCTTTTGTCCCATTCTTATAACCAATCCTGCTCTGATGCAATTCATCTCACTAGGCTCCCCTAGGTCGTTGATCTATAAACACGTAAATCATGTTGAACAAATATGCGGAGCAAACTAAATTTATAGCTTGCAATATACCCTGTTAGTGCTAAATTTATAGAATGTAATAATAATGCAATGAGGAAATGAGAAATACCTCATTTGATGAGAAATGCTGAGAAAGAAGGATAGAGTGCTTGAAAGCATACCATGACTAAAGCCTAAAAGAGCAAACAATAATACAAATGCTCCTGTCCAGTAGAGGGAAGAGCTTAGACTCTAACCATCCTTGCTTTCTCTTTGGGTGGATTATTATTCTTCTAGCACAATCCTTGAACCATCTGTCTCCTTACCAACA